GTTGAGAGTGGCTGGGGCTTGTAGTGCAGCCGTGTGACATGTCCCATCTTCTTTATCAGAAGTTCTTTGTTGTCTCTGCCATCAAAAACTATCTGGGCTACCTCTAACAGTTCTGACCTCTTCTTTCCTGCAAATCCATCTATCTTTTCCCCCCCACATCTGCCAGGGGTATTCCTGGCTCTGCCACTTTTTTTTTTTTTTTTTTTTTTTTTAACAGAAGGCCAAAAGAAAGGGGGCGGTAAGCATGGGAGGTTTTATTGATTTGGGAGCATTTTCAGGAATATTAGCTTTAATGCTCTGGCAAGAATCTCAGGAGATAGTGCCAGCCTTTCCCCAAGATGGCAGGCAGAGAATGCCATCCACTTTAACCACAGCTGGAATGCTGAACTGCTGTGACAGTGGAAAGAAGGCTGAACAGGCCCAGAAAATTGAACATGCTGGACGGATGTTCTGTGTGAAGTGAGAGGCTCCCAATACCCGTGTACTGCAGAGAGGGCAGTGAAGAGTGTCCTAGCCAAAAGGGCATTTGTATCTCTCTCCACTCCAAGGTCATTGTAGCTCTCCTCTCTGGCCACAGCTGGTAATAGGGGAGGTCATTACAGAGTCTTCCTGATAGGAATAACAAATGTGAGGCACTATTAATAGAAACCGTATGACAATACTCAGTGACATATGGTTACAGCCATGTGTCAAGTTCAGAGGGCAGCCAGGTGTGACTTTTGCAGCTTCCTAGAGTGAGTGTAAGACTAGCATTTAATGGCGGTGGTGGCGCACCTCTTTAATCCCAGCACTCGGGAGGCAGAGGCCGGCCGATCTCTGTGAGTTCGAGACCAGCCTGGTCTACAAGAGCTAGTTCCAGGAGAGGTTCCAAAACCACAGAGAAATCCTGTCTCGACCCCCCCCCCCAAAAAAAAGACTAGCATTTAAAAACCGAGTACTAGTTGAAAGGATTCTAGCCAAGCATTGCAAACACAACTCTTGACAGGCCTTGCCCTTCTCCCCCATTCCCTCTGCCTTGCTAAAAACCAATACCTTACATTCCTAGTCATGAAGAAGTTCTGTTCCCCCATTTGGCCACTTCCTCTTTCTGGTGCTAACTACCAAGGTCCAGCTATCAGAGCCCCCTATTGGTTGCTCTAATTAACATGCCCAATCAACATTAAATACCTCTTTTTAGCAAGGCAATGGTGGCACACAACATTAAACCCAGGACTCAGGACAAACTCACAAATCTCTGTGAGTTCGAGGCCAGCCTGGTCTGCAAAGTGAGTTCCAGGATAGGCTCCAAAACTACACAGAGAAACCCTGTCTCGAAAAAACAAAACAACAATAAAAAACAAAATCCCCCCCCCTCATAAAACTCATCCTAACTCAACTTTAGCTTTACAAACTGCCCTTTGCCCATGTGCAGCTACCAGCTCCTCTCTGCAGAGGCAGCTCTTTGTAGCGCCCCACTCTCCCTCCCCCAGGACAAACATCCCTTGTTCCTTCCCTTTCTCCCTCCTTTCTCACCTGTCATTGTCTCTCATCTCCTGCCTTTGGTGCCTCTAGGATGAATAAACCTTTGTGTTGAGGGTGTCTTGAGCTGATACTGGTCCCTTCATTAGTAAACTACATACATGTATGGGGTACAAAGGGATGCAATGACATATGTATACAATGTGGAATTATTGAATCAACCTAATACACATATCCATCATTGTATTTGTTGTTCAGTAAGTACTTATTGTTCATTCATCTTATCTAATTGAGTGATTTTATCTTAGTCAATAACTTGTTCATTTCCTACCATTCCCAGCCTCTGGTAACCAACATTCTCATCTCTGCTTTTATGAGTTCTATTGTTCTAGATTTCACAAGTCAATAAGAACACTTTGCTTTTCTGGGTTTGGGGGTGGCCAATTTAATGCGGCAACTTTGTTGAGCCATGATACCTGTGATCATTATCATTCTAGATGTTTCTGTGCAAGTGTATTTGGAGGAGATTAGGCTTTTTTTTTTTTCTTTCTTTTTTTAAGACAGGGTCTCTACATAGCTCTGCCCATCCTGAAACTCACTGTGTAGACCAGGCTGGCCTCAAACTCAAATAGATCTGCCTGCCTCTTCCTGCTGAGTGCTGGGATTAAAGGCCTGTATCCCCAGGCCCAGCAGGGAAGGTTAAATTAGTGGACTTTAAGTAAACGGATCAGCTTTGATAACGTGAGTGGGAACAGAATGACAAGGCTGGTCCGCTCTGAGGAAAGCCGACGTCTCCTGACTTCATTGACAACACTGGCAGATGGCTTTGCAGTCCTGCTGCAGCATCAGGTCTTCTGAGTCTGCAGCCTGAAGACTTCCGACCTCACAGCCTCCATGGGAGAAGTGAGGCTCATTGGCTATGTAACAAACACAACAGAACAAATGAGCATTATGTAGATTCTGTTTCTCTGATTTACCCTGGTTGTAACATGGAAAGAGAACCAAATGGCCTACCTAACATGTGCAGTCAAAGGAGGTGACATGCATGTGACCGGGCTGTGTTTCTAATTTCCGTCTCTAACAAAACATGTGAGGGATTAACTTGTTGAAAGGTTTATTGTAGTTCACACTTTTGAAGGCTTACGTGACAATCTTCACTATTTTAAATCAGGTCGCATTAATAACATACATCAAGTTTATACCATATCTTACTTTTCTTGTCATTCTGGAAAAAACAACAACAAGAAATTCGGATAGCAAACATCTATTCGTCCATGGAATGTATTCTTAAAATTAAATATATGGAACGCAAATTTCAAAGTGTGGAACTCACATTTAGAAGGCATAATTCAACACCATAACTACATTAGTAGTCATGGATGTCACAGTTACAACAATGTATTAGGCACTACTTTAAATAGGCACAAAAATTCTACCCAGAGAGTTAACAACGTATACTCTTTTGTGATATGTCTTCATAAAACTTTTTCATTTTATTTTCTAGTGTGATTGTGTGCAGCGAGCGAACTAGAATGAGTGGTGACTGATTCAGGTTGCCACAGCCCATGACTCAGGTCTCCTTGCCCAGTTACTGGTGTAATCAAGGAGTATCAAGTCACACAGCACATCATTCCGGTTCAAGAGGAGTGTTCTTACTTCACAGGTGAAGACTGGTTGCCCAGGAGAAGATGGGTGGAAACATTTGAGTTTCAGAAAGGCTCTGAAGCATAAACGACTATTCATCAGCTAGGGGATTTTTTTTTTTTTTTTGACTTTTCAAAACAGGGTTTGTCTGTGTAGCTTTGGAGCCTGTCCTGTAACTAGCTCTGTAGACCAGGCTGGCCTCGAACTCAGAGATTCACCTGCCTCTGCCTCCTGAGTGCTGGGATTAAAGGTGGGAGCCACCACTGCACAGTCCAGCTGTGGGATTTCTATTCTACTGCTGATTGACTGATACGCGATTTTGCTCTGTAGTAGTGACCTTGCTGTCTCTGGATTACAGCTTTGTACCACCACACCTGGCTCTGCTACTCTACTATTTTGATATATAAAGGATCTGGCTCTGAGTGATGTTTCCTTTGCATTTCCAATCAAACTCTTTCCAGTGGGTCTTTAGTCTTTGGCTCATTCTTTCTGCCTGATCAGATCTAAGGAACTATTCAAACACAGGGCACTCTGGGATTGCAGAAGTTAGGCTCTTCATTGAACCAAAAAGTGTAAAAACAGACAACATCATTCTTAAAATGATTTTTAGTAATCTAGATCCAGTTTTTCAATGATGTAAAGTTCAATAAAGATGTGTTAACAGGGCTGGAGAGATGGCTTAGTGGTTGAGAGCATTGCCTGCTCTTCCAAAGGTCCTGAGTTCAATTCCCAGCAACCATATGGTGGCTCACAACCATCTGTAATGAGGTCTGGTGCCCTCTTCTGGCCTGCAGGTATACACATAAAACAGAATATTGTATACATAATAAGTAAATAAATATTAAAAAAAAGATGTGTTAACAATACATGATTGTAGCTGGGCAGTGCTGGCGCACACCTTAAATCCCAGCACTCAGGGAGGCAGAAGCAGGCGAATCTCTGTGAGTTCCAGGATAGCCAGAGATACAGAGAAAACTTGTCTCAAAAACAAAAAATAATACACGATTATTTTTGGTTGCTTGATGCTTTTGGAAGCCTAAATCCTCAGGTTTCCAGGCTCAAAAATTCTCTCTTACTTGCTCCTGTGGTGATGCAAAGAACATAAAGATCACATTGAAAAGCATTCTGATCACTTGGACATTTCGTTTAAGCTTACATACAATGAACCATCATGCCATTACATGTTCTGAAATTATTAGCACTGTGGATGAGCAGTCTCAATCAGGTACAAGTTTATTATACACTAAGTAGATTTTTGTTCATTTAAAAAATTCTAATGGCAATTAGCTACAGCATATAGAGTATTAAATTTTAATAAGAGTAAATAAAGCATAGTAATGACATAAAGTAAAGTATGTCTTTTTTTTTAAAGACAGGATTTCACCACATAACTCTAGCTGTCCTGGAACTTGATCTGTAGACCAGGCTGACCTCAAATTCACAGAGCTCCACTACCACTGCCCCCTGAGTGCTAAGATTAAAGTTGTATATGTATTTCTAAGAAATCTGGGCAGCAGCCAGGTCATGGTATTATACACTGTTAATCAATCCTAGCACTTGGGAGGCAGAGGCAGGCAGATCTCTGTGAGTTCGAGGCCAGCATGGTCTGCAAAGCGAGCTTCAGGACAGCCAGGACTGTTACATAGAGACAATCTAAAGAAAAAAGAAATATGGGCAAACTCTTTTTTGCCTAGAGCAAATATTGACTGCTTTGGCATTATCGTTCACATCCTCTATAACAATATATAAGAAACAGGTCGATCAATCATATATACATATACACACATATACATATATACACGTATATATACAATACTATATATATGTATATATGTATGGATAGATTTGAGGTTATGGGTATACACATTTGGCAGTCTTTTTTTTTTTTTTTTTTTGGTTTTTTTGAGACAGGGTTTCTCTGTGTAGCTCTGGCTGTCCATGAACTCGCTCTGTAGACCAAGCTTGGCCTAGAACTCACAGAGATCCATCTGCCTCTGCCTCCTGAGTGGGATTAAAGTTTATCACTCACTGCTGATACCTCCTCTATAAGGGGTGGGGTATGGGGAAATATCTCCTCCATAAAGTCAAAGCAACTGGACCCAGCTTTACCTACCCTTTTACACTCCTCAACCATGAATGTGTGCACACACACCCCCATATAAGTGTTTCTGCCCTACAGGTATCAACTTCTTGCTGTTCCACCTTCCCATTTCTTCTTCCAGTTAGTTTTAAAAAAACTGAACTTGAACATCATTTTTTTCACTTGAGTATTTTATCTTCCCTTCTGTTGATGAGATCGGAAAATTATAAATGTGAATGCTAAATCAAGTGGCTAACACCATTTTTCCTATTCAGAACATCTTGTCTACTTTTACTGGAAATAAGATAATTTGGAAATTTGAAAAACTACTATGTATGTATATTGATAATTTTGACAATAGTTCAAGATAAACTGCTTTTTTTTCTTTGAAAAATCACTATTTTTTTCTTGGCTAAATTTGTTTTTGCTTTCCTTGGCTAAGTCTGGACAGTATATTATAGCATCAAACTATTTGCTACTGAGTGGTCCTTTTTGTTTCCTGTGAATATTTGCTCAAAATATCTCCTTTGAGCACTTACAAATCTTGCCAAAAGTAACGATTCCAGGACCAATAAATCTAGAAACAAAAAGGAATATAAAATATATTTTATTATGTTCTAAGAATGGCAAACCTGGTACTTTGAAAACTTATATTTTAGTCCTAGTCAGTACTTCTGCGACTGCTTAAAAGTATTTTGCCTTTTCCCCCTCCAGTGTTTGTTTGTTTTTGTTGTTGTTCTTGTTTTGGTTTTTCAAAACATGGTTTCTCTGTGTAGCTTTGGAGCTGGTCCTGGAACTTGCTCTGTAGACCAGGCTGGCCTCGAACTCACAGAGATCTTCCTGCCTCTGCCTCCTGAGTGCTGGAATTAAAGGTGAGAGCCACCACAGCCGGGCCCCCTCTCCAGTTTTGATGCTGGGATTGAATCTAGGTTTTCAGAAACTAAGGAAGCATTCTAGCACTGAGCGATGGCCCCAGCCTGCAAGATGTACCTTATGCATCTTTCATATTATTTGGTGTATGTTGCTGCACGCACTCACGTGAATTTGTGTGAGCACATGTATGGCGGCGTGCGTGTTGAGGTCAGGGGACAACTTCAAGTGAAATGGGTTCTTTCTTTCCACCACAGGGGTTCCAGAGATCAGACTCAGGTCTGCAGATTTGGTGGCAAGCTTCTTTATCCACTGAGTCATCTCGTCGGCCCGTCAAGTGCACTTTATATTTAATACTAATTGACTGAGGAGAATATAATCCTGACACATTTATTTTCAGCCAGACTACGTGTATACAAAAAAAATCCAATTTCAATTGTCAAGAAAGATGAATAATACTGACCCATCTGGACACTAAGGTCAGCTATATGCTAAGAAAGTGAGAGTGGGTGTAATTTTGTAGACACTGGTTTCAGAAAGAAGGCTGTCTGCTTTCCCTCCTAACTCAGCAGACTACCCTGTCTGTCCGTGTAGCTGGTGAGCAGAGAGCGCTGTAGCCAGCAGCTCACGATGCTACCGTGGGTCTGGATGCTTTGTGACGTTCACTCCTTGCGTTGTTCTGCTGTAAATGTTGACATGTATCCAGAAGCGTCTTGGCCTGTATACGACAGTTCTTTGGCATGTTGCAGTCAGCAGAAGCACTCTCTCCTGGGCTTAACTGCTTCCTCAGAAGAATGCACAGTATTTGGAACAAAGCCACTTTTAACCCCTTCCCAGCCATCCTGAATACAAATCTCTCCCTTCTTAATAAGTTCATATATGTCTCTTGTCAAGATTGTGAAGGACTCCTCAACATTTGTAGCATCTTTTGCTGAGGTTTCTATATATTTCATTCCACAGTCTGTCGATAGTTTCTCGGCTTCTTCCCTTGACACCTGACGTTGTGATGCTAAATCACATTTGTGTCCCACCAGGAGAAATATAATATGAAAAGGCTGTACGTGCATTTTCGCTTCTTCCAGCCAATCTTTCACATGTTCAAAAGACCGTCGGTTAGTAATGTCAAATACTAAAAACCCACCAACTGAGTTGCGATAATAGGATCGAGTTATTGATCTGAAAAACAAAAAAAGGTTGTGTCAGGTCAATGCTCTTTGCTCCTCCTTCGAATAATGAAACACCAAAATCAAATGCGAAAATAACGTTATTTAAATAGAGCTTATAAATCCAATATGAAGTATCCTCGGTGAACAATATTATTCTGAGATTAACACATATGCCCATCTCATATATGGACAGAATTTTGAAGTCGCACTTCTTAGACACATAAGAACCTTTGCAGCATATCATCTTGCAGTGTCTTATGAGGTTTTATTTTTTAAGTATTTGATAGAAGAGTTATTACAAAATGGGGTTAAAAACAGATAGATAATAGAGGACTCGGGATGTAACTCTGTAGTAGAGTGTCTGCATGCAGGGAGCCCCGAGTTCAGTCCCCATATATGACGTGTATGGTGGCAACACTCCTAGAATCCCTCCACACGGGAGCTGAAGGTAAGAGGAAGAGGAGTTCAAGGTGGGGCTGAAAGCTGCCCCAGCAGGATGAGCACTTGCCGTGCACACACGAAGACCTACGTTTGGCCCCTAGAACTCATGGAAAAAACTCCTGGTGTGGCGGCTCAAAATTACGATCCTAGCACTGGGGAGGTAGAGATAGGCAGAAGACCCCTGGGGCTTGCTGAATGTCATCTAGCCTTTCCCTCTCTGTCACACTCTATTTACCCTTCAATAGTTCAAGAAAGATATTATCTGAGGAGCCTTCCCAATCAAAGACTCCTTTCTCAAATAATCCCATCTAATGGGTAGCAGACTGCTATTACATTTGCATCGATTTTTATAATGTGCTGCCTGGATATGTAGATGTCTCTGGCTCGATCCATGGTTTCTCAAAGGTCAAACATTTTATACATGTGTCTTACATCATATTGGCTGGCAAATCCTAGGAATCACAGAATGTTTGCTATACAGGGCTGACTAGCCAAAAGGGCAAAGGAAAGCGCTAAATGCCAAGGACCTCCCGAGTGTCAAAGTTCAAGCTGTCCGTGCTCCACACCAAACTCATCTACTTGACCAAGATATAGAGACCGCTATGAAGGGACAGTGGGATGCCCCAGACGCTTGTGCTCACTACACTCTCCTCACTCCTAAAGCCACAGTAGTTCAGCGACCCAACACTGTGCCCGCCTTTGCAGCTAGGGCAGGTGTTCCCAGTCCCTGAGTACTTCTCGAGCACTCAGGAGGCCCTAGGTCCAATACTTAGTACTGCCAGAGAAACCCACCAGCCTTGCTTTCTGAGTATGAAGAACGTATGTGCCCCCTCCCCTTATTCGCTCGCCTCCCTGTTTCTCCTCAAAATTCGTAAAATAACCCCAAGTGACTCCCCTCCCTTCTCCTGTGTTTTCATCCATCATTCTATTTTTGAGACATGGTTTTCCAAGTCCAGCTCAGCCTAGAACTGCTCTGTGGCCCAGCTGTCTTCCCAGCTCAGCCTCCTGAGTCCTAGGACTGTAGGCGTGCACCATCAAGCTAGGCTTCAAGCAACAGTTTCTGGGGGCTACAGTACTATACAAGCATTGACGACAAGAAAAATTGTCCACCATATTTAACGGGATTTAAAGAATCTAGTTAATTAAGGTGTTGCTATCGTCTTTAATTCTGTGGGATAATTAATTTGTTACCATTCTGCCACTGTTCTGTCTGTATGTGTATGAATTCAGGCAGATGTGCCAGGTCATAAGAAAAATCCAATTAAGCCTATGTTGTTAGGCCGAAACTTTATCAGCACCAAATCTGCCTTGCTCTCTATAATCTTATTTGAAAATAAAAAAATGTAGGAGGTGTGGCTTTGTTGGTACGGTATGTTTGTAGATGTGTTCTCGTTGGAGGAAGTATGTCCCTGTGGAGGCCGGCTTTGAGGGTTCATACATGCACAAGCCATATCCCGTGAGACAGTCTTGTGCTGTTGCCTTCTGATCAAGATGTAGCCAGTACCACATGTGCCCGCATGCCGCCATGCTCCCTGCCACAAATGATAATGGACTGAAAGTCTGAACTGTAAGCCACCACCTCAAATAAATGTTTTCCTTTATAAGAGTTGTCGTGGTTCGTGTCTTTTCACTGCACTAAAAACCTTAGCTAAGAAAAGATGGAGCTCAGGTCCTCAGGCTTTGTAGCAAGGCCCTTGACCTGCTGAGCCAGGAACTCACTCCCAGAGATCCACCTGCCTCTGCCACCCACGTGCTGGGATTAAAGGCGTGCACCAACACCACCTGTCCTTCACCAGTGTCATTTTTAAAAACAACCTTTTTGTGGTTGAAAATGCAATGTTGAGAAGATTACTTAGTGCAAGTTTTTCAAGATTTTACTGGGATATGGGAACTTGGGAAACAGCTCAGTGGTTACAAGTATGTGCTGTTCTCCGAGGACGGTTAGGTTTCTAGTACCCTGTTGGCTCACAACTGCCTGTAACTCCAGTTCCAGGGGGATCAGATGTCTCTGCCCTTTTAGGGCAACTGCATTCAAATTTACGTATTTACCTGCAGACACAAGTATACATAATTAAAAGTAATGGAGTCTGAACAAGGATGACACCAATACATACTAACATTAAAGGGGGAAGTTAAATTTTATCCCTAGACAAAGAATTACAGGTAGCTAGCTGGATGGTGGTTCATGCCTTTAATCCCAGCAATCAGGAGGTAAGAGGCAGGCGGATCTCTGTGAGTTCGAGGCCAGCCTGGTCTACAAGAGCGAGTTTCAGGACAGGAACCAAAACTACGGAGAAACCCTGTCTCGAAAAGCTAGGGAAAAAAAAAAGAATTACAGGCAACTAAGGAATGCTGAGAGTGGGAGAAACGGCCTTCCCTAGGGAACCATTTCAAGTGGTCAGCTCTGGAAACAAACACACAAGCAGCATTCACAGGCTGAGCAGGTTGAATTTATATATTTAGGGACATGCGTGTGTGCACGCATACACACACACACACATACACACACACTCCAGCAACAATTAAAAAAAAAGACCCTGGGTTTGAAAAAGAGTAAGGTCGAGGATACATAGGAGGGCTTGGAGAGAAGAAAGGGAAGGGGAAATGATATTAATCTTAAAAAAATGTTTAAAAGGCCGGGCGATGGTGGCGCACGCCTTTAATCCCAGCACTCGGGAGGCAGAGGCAGACGGATCTCTGAGAGTTCGAGGCCAGCCTGGTCTACAAGAGCTAGTTCTAGGACAGGCTCCAAAGCCACAGCGAAACCCTGTCTCGAAAAACAGAACAAAACAAAAAAAAATGTTTAAAAAAGAACAGGGATGGATATTTCAAAAATTACTGGGATATAATACAAACAAAGTAACCTTATGACTTCATTAAATTGCCAAGATAGAGTTATATTATTTCAGTAAATATTTACATTTACAAATTAAAAAAACGAGTTACCACCTAAAATAGAAAATTCAACATTGAAATGTTTGCGTGCATGTATATATATATATGTGTACACATGCATGCACTCACACACACACAGAAGCATGCCTTACATTGTAGGAAACAACATGTTTTCTAGCAACTTGCATTTTTTTTTAAAAAAAATCTTGCCGGGCGATGGTGGCGCACGCCTTTAATCCCAGCACTGGGGAGGCAGAGGCAGGTGGATCTCTGTGAGTTCGAGACCAGCCTGGTCTACAGAGCTAGTTCCAGGACAGGCTCCAAAGCCACAGAGAAACCCTGTCTCAAAACAAACAAACAAAAAAATTTAACTAATAAACCCTATTAAATGTATCATTTTATTGTGGGTTAATGCAATAAGGCTATATTGTGCCACAATGGTTAAATAGAGCAGCTGTGTGTGCCTTGCTTTTATGTATGTTTTCATACATATTTTTGGTTTTGCTATGTTGGCCAGGCTAGCCTCAAACTCCTAGGCTCAAGTAATATGCCTATTCAGCCTCCTGGGTAGCTAGGAATTCAGGTACTGGTCACCATACCCAGCTATACATATTTTATTAACTTGTATAAGCAATTACACTTTTTCTCATAATGTAACTTTTTAATTATTATTCATGATGCNAGGCAGAGGCAGGTGGATCTCTGTGAGTTCGAGACCAGCCTGGTCTACAGAGCTAGTTCCAGGACAGGCTCCAAAGCCACAGAGAAACCCTGTCTCGAAAAACCAAAAAAAAAAATCTTAATTTTATATGTTATAGAGGGAATTATTAGTTGTGAGACTATCCTCTGGCCAAAATGCAGGGGGTGGGGTAGAATACAGAACCCAAAGGGAAGGTCCAGGTTTTGTTTTTCTTCATATCTTTTAGGATTGAGGATTAAACCCAAATCCTAATCCATAAATGTGCCCCTGAGCTATGTCCTCAGCTTTACTGCTATTGCCTGTAAAAGAAGCTTGCTGAGCTTTTGCTGCTGGAAGGTGACCTATCTCACCCTCTTTCAAAGGCTTCTCCTCAGGCTTGGCCTCAGGACCCCTCCCCCATTACCGCCTCCAATCCCTCTGTAAACAAATCCTCTGCTCCTCTGAGACTGAAGCCCTCTGCTGGCACCTGCCAGCTCTGGGCCTTTCTCCACAGACTAGAGATTTTAGCACTTGACTTTCTTTATCTCAAGTCCTGTCGTTTTGCTGATAGCAGCATCCACTCCGGCAGGTTGTTCCCCAGCACCTGTTTTCCAGATTTGGGGCCCAGCGAGATGGCTTGATGCACAGAAGTGCTGGCTGCAATGCCTGCTGGCCTGAGTTCCGTCTCAGGACCCACAGAGTGGAAGAGAAGAACTTACTCCTACAGGCTGTCCTTTGGCATGCACCTATCCTGCGCCTCCTAATAAATGAATGTAAAATAATTCTGACTGCAAACCTGGGCTGAGGAGATGGTTCAGGGCACATCGGTTGAAGTTGCTATGAATTAATTATAACCAATCCCAAGTGGGTACTCAACAGTGCCAAGGAACCGCTGGTACTTTTGCATGGTACCCTCTTCCTACCCCTCCCCACTTTCTGTATCCATGCTACTGGCTTGCTAACTTTAAGGGGCATGAAGGGCCGTGTCTGCTTTG